AGCGGATCCCCGGACATGGCGGAGGTGGCGGACGCCGCTGGCGGCAACCCCATGACGGAGGGTGAGGATGTACGGCAGGAGCGTCAGCGTGTGGAGGCTCTGTGGCGGAAGTGGACTGGCGGCGGCGGCGACGGCGGCACGGCGACCACCGCTGCCGGTCCCGCCGCCGCCGCCGCCGCCGTCCCCGTCTTGGACGGACCGTCGGTGTACGGCGGTTTGGATCTTGCGGATGAAGCCCTCCGCCAGCCCCCGGCGCTGCTGCTGCGCAACGTTCGTAAGGTCTTCCGGGGTCAGGTGCGCGGTGGCGGACCTGGTGCCGGTGGCTGCCCTCCTCCTCCTCCGCCTCCTCCTCCGCCTCCTCCTCCGCCTCCTCCTCCGCCACCTCCGCCACCTCCGCCTCCTAGGGGGGTTAGGGAGAAGACCAACACCAATCAGCAACCACTTCGCACACGTCGACAGCATTGACAGACGAACATGCCTCATCTCTTTACTCTCCCTCTTGCCGTTTGCCTGTTTGCCTGTTTGTCTGTCTGTCTACCTGTCTGTCGGTTCTTCGTTTCCTTCGGCGGCAGGGTGGCGCTTCTGTTTTCTCCCCCGGTGGCGGCGGCGGTGGCGGCGGTGGCCGTGCTGGTGCTGGGCCCTATATCGCGGTCCACGACTTATGTCTGTCTGTCGGTCCCCGAGAGACGCTGGGGTTACTTGGGCCCAACGGTGCGGGGAAAACCACCACGTTGAGGATCATGCAAGGTGAGCGGGCGGGGTAATGGAGCGGGGTTGAGGTAAGGGGGGTTTGGGGGGAGCTGCATGGGGGAATTTTAAAACATAGTCCAATCCAACAAAAGTCCAAAAACGTCCTTCAAAGGTCGGCAATTGGGCCAAGTGTTCGGTAAGGGGTTGAGGCGAGTTTTGTCTTCCTTCCCTACCCCCGACATTGGCCAGCTGATATAACAATTTCAATAGCTAGGATGAGTCATTGGCATCTTGCATGCAATCATACATGTGTGTTTATGTTTGACTTAGATTACACTGTGGGCCGCGAGAGCCGGGGGCCGAAGCCGAAACACAGCGCAATATGTATGTGTATATACTCGGATGTGTAAATACCTATACTAATACATACCTGACTTTGAACCTACCCTCAAGTCCCCAATTTCAATCCGACATGGGCTCAATTCAATCCTTAGGAGGGTTCAACCCCCCACCAAAACCATTCCCCCCCCCAAAAAACATCCCTCTGAAATATATTCTCCCCTGCCCGCACGAAGGCATCTTGGAGCCTAGCTCGGGCAGTGTGTTGGTGTGCGGTGTTGATCTGGCCGCCGAGCCCTCCCGAGCCGCGCAGCTGGTGGGCATCTGCCCCCAACACGACGTGCTGTGGCCCTCGTTGACTGGCATGGAGCACGTGAGGCTCTTCGGCAGGATAAAAGTACGTACGTACCGGGGGTATATGGTGGCTCCATCATGTGTCTCGGGGGGTGCGTCCCCTCCCACCAATATATGTGTTGTGTGTATGTGCCGAGACGAGCCGAGCGTGTGTACGTTTCTTGTTTATGGGTGTTTGGTTTTTTTATATACACACGCTTTGTGTGTCTTTCTGTCTGTATGTTGTATGTGCGTATGTATGCGCGTATACACCTTGGATTGCGTTTTATTACCCCTTCATTGGGGTGTAGTGGGTAGTGGGGGGAATGTGTGTCCGGTGTTCATGTTCCAGAGACTGAGGAGTTCTTTGGTGCTCTCCGGCGGCGGAAGCAAAGCACAAGCAAAGCACAAACGCAGCACAGCAAGCACAGCACAGCAGCCCACCACACGTCGGGCTGTATGTGGTTCTGCACCATTACTCCTCCGTACGCCTCCCCCAGCCCGGCCCTCCCCCTTCTCACACGCACACACACACACACACACACACACACACACACACACACACACACACACACACACACACACGCACACGCTCACGCACACGCACACGCACACGCACACACACACACACACACACACACACACACACACACACACACACACACCCAGCTGCCTCTTTGGCCTTTGCATAGATTTTCCACCCGCCACAACCCCTTCCAAATTCTGGGTTTTAGGGATTACGAGGCTCAGCGCTGGAGGCGGCAGTGGCTGGCGGTCTGGACGAGGCCGGCCTGCGGGATGTAGCCGATCGGCCGGCAGGGTGCTACAGCGGCGGCATGCAACGCCGCCTGAGCGTCGTGTGCGCGCTGGTACGTCCGGCGGCGCTTTCCACGGGTTGGCTTGAAATTGTTTTTGGAAGTTTTAGAGATTTAGTGCGGTTTTAGGTGGCGGGGTTTTAGTTGGGTTTTCAACAGGTTGGAGAGACAGTTATGGATGTGGACTTAGGGTTTAATGTGGGACGGGGTAGGGGTGTTTTGATAGGTGGTTTCGGAGGTCATAATGGTGGTCGTTGAGGTTTTAACATTGCAATAGATGCGCGGCAAATTTAAGCAGGTCAGGTAAGGCGAACTGGTTTTCCCCTAAAGGGGGCGATCTACTCGAGGAGAACTAAAGGCAAAGAACCACTCGCCACATGTCACCTCAGCCTCAATAAAACCAACAATCCTAAAGTAGACCAAGGCAAAGATCTAATTCGTTTCTTGCACGGTTTTATATGGTTTTCCTAATGAGAACGAGAAAAAAACACTACCGCTATCCGCACCACCACCTACAACCTATCTCCTGACTTTCCCCGCCACATACATACTTACATACATACATATATACATACATACATATACACAGGTGGGCTCCCCGCGGGTGCTGTACCTGGACGAGCCTTCCACAGGTCTGGATCCGGCCTCCCGGAGGCTGCTGTGGAAGGTGAGTTTTAGCGGTTTTAGCGGTTTTAGCGGTCTTAGAGAATATGTCATGTAATTAAATGTGTACGACTGTGAGCGGCAACGACGTGAAACAGTGTTGTGTGTAAGTACGTTTCCATGCACCCGCCCTCCTCCCACTTCCCTCCCCACCCGCCCTCCTCCCACTTCCCCCCCCCACCCGCCCTCCTCCCACTTCCCCCCCCCACCCGCCCTCCTCCCACTTCCCCCCCCCCCACCCGCCCCGCCCCGTCAGGCAGTTCTGGCCGCCAAGCGCCGCTGCGCCATCGTCCTGACCACCCACTCGATGGAGGAGGCTGAGGCGCTCTGCGACCGCCTGGGGCTGGTGGTGGGCGGATGTCTGCGCTGCATCGGCAGTCCGCAGCAGCTGATGGCCAGATACAGCTCCTACATGCAGCTGAGGTGCGTGCGGGAGGAAGGAAGGAAGAGGAGGAGGAGGAGAGGGGAAAGGGGGAGGAAGAGGAGGAAGAAGGAAGAAATTTGTTAGTTAGTTAGGGCAGATACACCTTCGCCGTACTGTGACATCGCATAAAGCTCGCGATGTGTTGTTTTACGAAACCCAAAGAACCTCGAAAGAACACGACAGGATCGGGGAAATGCCCACTGATGGAGATCCTGGGTGGGTGGAGAAGACACGTCCCCAAACACACCACCAGTTTCCCCCCAGTTCCAACCTGCACCGCTCAGCTCCATTCCCACCGCCTCCGTACATCCGTACATCCGTACATCCGTACCGGTCCCCGACCGCAGCCCACTTCTACCGACCTCACATCCATTTTCACCCGCACAATCCCGTACACATGCACACGCATGCATACATACATACATACAGACAGACAGACACAACACCTGCACAGACACATACAAACACATACACGCACATTCTCCTTGGAGCAGTCTTACGGTGGCTGCGGGGTGTACGGATGCGAGGGCGGAGGAGTTTGTCCGTACACACGTCAGTGCGGCGGCCAAGCAGGTGCGGGTCAATGCGCGCGCGTGTGTGTGCATGTGTGTATGTGTTGGGGTGTGCGTGTGTGTGTTGGGGCGTGCGTATGTGTGTGTGTTTTAGTGCATGCACGTGTCTGTGTCTATGAATGTAAAACCCTGAGCTGCGGTCCAGTGGCTGCGGTGCAAAACTTTACCCGATGCACAGCGGACACCTCTTCTTAAATATGCCTATGCGGGATGTGGGACTGCTTTCCGCTTTGGCTGTGAATGAGAACGAATGGCTGTGGGGGGTTTTGTCCTAAGTGTGTTTTGCCAATAGACCCGAAATGAAACTCTCGTCTCATTACGATATGTACATACCCGCCACGGTGCCATGTCGTACATACCCGCCACGGTGCCATGTCGTACATACCCGCCGCGGTGCCATGTCGTACATACACAACCTCACAACTTCCCCTTTCTCCCTCCTCCCCTCTGCCAAATCCATTCCTGTTCCGATCGCCATTTGTCAACCCTGGCTCCAAGTAACTACCACTCAACCGCCACATAACCGCCACCCAACCGCCAGGTGTACTGCCTCAATGGCTTCCACAGTTACGAGCTACCCCGCGGTGACGTCAGCCTGTCGGATCTCTTCCGTACAATGGCGGCAGTGCAGGTCGACGATGACGACGGTATCGGGAGCACCACTCACGACGGCCGACGCGGAGAGTACGGCATGGCGGCGCCGCTGCCGCCGCTGCCGGCAGCGGTACTCCAGGCAGGGCACTCCGGGAGGGGCTCTGCCGCCGGGTCAGCCCTCGGAGGCCCTATGGCGCTGCTCGACTGGGCCGTCTCCAGTGCGACTCTGGAAAGCGTGTTTGTACGAATATGTCGGCAGTCAGGAGCTGTTGCGGAAGCGGCGGCGGCGGCGGCGGCGGCAGCAGCAACGACGGGGGGCGGCAGGGCGTGATGTACGGTGCAACTGTACGGCAAATGACTGCTGACCTCGTCGCCATGACGTCCCGCCGCTGTCCTCTCTGCTGGAACGGTTTTTTGAATCTACAGCGCGAGATTGGTCGCCACCGCCGCCGTTACTTGGCCTGGGAAACGGATTTCTGCAAAATTTTCGGCTATATTTTCGGCTATATTTACCGATGCGGCGATGCGGCGGCAGTATGTTGCCCCCCCTGTGTGTTTTCCCCCGCCGTCTGCACGTGAATGTACCTACCTGATTCCGGGCGGCGCTGAAGAGGACCATGAAGAGGAAATTCGATCACCCCAGCCCCCGGTGCAGCACACACATCGGCGGTGGTGCTCCACCGCTTTGTTGGGGAGCGCACCGTGTGCATGTAGGTGCTAAGTATGTATGTTGTATGTATGTATGTCCGTGTTTTGAAGGAAGGTGAATTGGTAGATTATGTGTCATCCGGTGATTGATGATTTGCGGAAGCTTAGGGTTTTATCCTAAAACCCTAAACCTTCCGAAAGATGTAATGGCCTTTGATGGATATCCTCACAACCGCCCATTTCCCCCTATTTACATCTCCCGCACATTTGCAGTTCCCACGCCGCTTCGAAACCTCTAACCACCACCACAACCACCATAACCACCTGTGGGCAAAAGAGATCTCCCATGACTCCAGTTTCACTCCGATCTCACACAGCATCGACCCGCGCCGTTAACTCAGCCATCATCACACACCAGACCTCACCCACCCACCTCAACAACCACCTCAACAACCACCACCACAATCACCACCACAATCACCACCACAACCACCTACATGTGTGACTCCGCCTGTTTTAAGAGGAGTACAACGCTACTAAACAAGAAAAGAAAGCAGCAGAGTACAAGTTCTCACCATGTTGTCCCGTCCCGACACCACCTCCCCCTCTCTTTTCAAGGATCAAACAGGCTCTCCGCAGCATCCACCTCACCGCCCTCCCCCTCCGCCTCCTCCTCTTCCTCCCCCCCTTCCTCCTCCTCCTCCTCCTCCTCTTCCGCCTCGTTGTCGGTTACGTCCAACGCCCGTTCGTACGCTCTCTGAAGTTCCGCCGCCACAGGCCATATTCCTTGTGGATCCAGATCTGGATCCAGGCCCTCAGCCTCGTCGACAAACTCCTCACTGCCGTCGCCGTCGTCCATTAACAAACCTGCGCCGTATTCTGAATTGCCGTACACGCCGTACGCCGACGCATTGGTGTACTCACAGCTGGAATCGACGCGCACCAGCAGAGCGCGCTGTTGATCGTCCGGCTGCTGTACTTGCCGTACATCTTCCGGATCCACACGGCATACATACAAACTGAGGACCTGCAGCACAGAGGACGAAGAGAGCAGGGCCTCTCGCGGGTCAACTAAGTCGCTTTCTGTGATTTAAATTATATATTTTTTAGTTTTGTGATCCAATCCAATCGCAATCGCAATCCAATCGCTTAGAAGAAGACGACATCCTTTGGGAAGGCAGGCAACGAAACGGGATCCAGCGGGTACGGCATGGTACAGCATAGTACGGCACTCAGCCCGTGAGAGACACGGAAGGTAGGAGGAGTGAAGACACGGAAGATACACCGTTCCGGCACCAGTACCACCGCCGCCGCCGCCGCCGCCGCCGCGGCTACTGCGTACGACCCCCCCACACCTGTAGGTTCGGCAGTGCCGTACGCAGCGCCCCCAGGTCTCCGGGCTCCAACGCAAACGCCGCCAGCTCTACCGCCTCCACCGCCGTCCCCAAGGCCGCGAGCTCCCCAAGCCACGCCGCGTGAGGGCCCTCCAGCATCGCCGCTGGGGCGCGACCGAACGGCTGTAGCGCCACGCGCCGCAGCGCCGCTGGCGGCAGTAGCCGCCGCAGCAGCGCCGCCGCCGCCGCCACGTCCTCCGTCCTGTCCACCGCCGCCACCCGCTGTCGGTCTGCGTGGGAGAACTCCTCGCCGACAAGAATCAGGCGAAGGGGCTCGTACGGGGCCACGGCGGCGGCGGCGGCGGCGGCGGAGCCGCCTGACGGCGGCGGCGCCGCCGCCGCCGCTGGAGCAGCGTCGACGGCGGCATGGCGGCTGCCGCCGCCGTCCAGACGATCCACACTTGCCGAAGAAATCGGGAATAGGATGCCGCCGTCGGCAACTCCGTTAGTCGTACGGCGTGTAAGAGTCAGCATCTTAAGGCGCGGCAGCGTCGCCAGTGTTGCTAAAACAGGCACCGCCGGAAGGGACGCGACCTGTGTGATCCAAGATCCAAGATTCAAAGTCCAAATCCGAATCCAGGACAGTCCCCAAAACGGATCAAAAAGATCAGACAGGTATGAAGAAATTGTTCGTCGGTTTTCGATCGACCGTACAAGCAGCATTCGTACATTGGGCGCGTCAGAGCGGCGCGAGAGAGGCGCCACTTGACGAGGGAATGGTAAGGAAGCGAAAATAACCAACCAACTACCCGTTCGGCTACCACTCCAACTACCCAACGAACCAGCCAACCGACCTGCAAGTGCTCCAGGGAAGCCGGCAGCGGCGAGTAATGAAGGAGCGGCCAATGCTGGTTGTGGCGTAGATGTTGTTGTTGTTGATAGTGTTGTTGTTGTTGTTGTTGTTCGTGCTGTAGCTGCTGCTGCTGCTGCGGCGGCGGCGGCGGCGGAGGCGCTTGGTGCAGGTGCTGCGGCGGCGGCGTCAAGAAGGTGCTACAACCCAGGCGGGTCAGCTGAGATAGCGCCGCCAGCGACGGCAGCGCCTCCGCCGGCAGCTCGTACGACACACCGACATCCAAATCTTGAAGCCACGTCAGCGCCGCCAGTGTCGGGCCCAGTCGCCAGTTGCTAGACGCTCCTGACTGCGACGGGATGGAGGCGCCGCCGCCGCCGCCTTCTGCCGCTATACCCGCGCGCTGCCGCATCGCGCCGCCGCCGCCGCCGCCGCCGCCGCTCAGAAAGCGCTCCTGCGGTGATGTTGTCGTTGTTGTTGTTGTGGTGGTGGTGGTGGTGTCGGCCGGTAGGTCAATCCGCAGACGCTTCAGGTTACGTAACGCCTCCAGGCCGAGCAAACGATACGGCGGATCCAGAATCCGGTCGATGCAACTGCCGTACAGCTCAAGGCAACGCAGTTGCGTCAGCGACGCGATGGCTGCGACGGCGGGCGGAACTTCGGTACGACACGACCGACAATCAGGGCGCAGGATGGGGTGTTCGGACAACGGGTCGGCATGGTGACGCGGTCGCAGTGCAGCAGGAGTACGGCAAGTACGGCAAGAAGGATCGAGAGAACCCGGGAGGGAAGGGGAGGGGGTAAAACCGGGGGAAGGATCACCAGCCGAAAAGGTTGCGAATGTGAACAGAAACAGGGATCTAAACTGAAAAAACGGCCGTAAACAGCTCCAAGCGCTTGGACGACATCCAAAAGAAGTGTGTATGCACGGGGGGGGCACCACTTCCCCCACTTCGACCCCAACCATCTGTTCATGTGTGGTTCAACAGGTGGTGCAACATGTGTGTGTGTATTTGTGCCCCCGACGTCCAAGTTGACGGTGGGAAGGGGGGTAGCACCTACCCGCCCGCCCGGCTACTGCCGCCGCCGCCGCCTCCATAGCGGTTGATACGCCGTTCCCCGCCGTCACGGTAGCAGCCGCTGCTGCTACTGCCGCTGCCGGCGGGGATGGCTGCTGCTGTCTGTACTGCTGACGGACGCCAAAGTCCGCCTGCGTCAGCGCCGCAAGTGCCGCGGCGTCCGTTGGCGCCAAAACCCTGCCGCCGCCGCCGCCGTTGCCGCCGCTGACACTGTCACTGCGTCGCTTCAAACATTTGGAGGAGTACGGCTGCGAGCCGTACTTGAAGGGCCCTATGTGCATGTTTGGATCCATGCTGAGCTGCAGCCGCAGCTCCGTCAGGGCCGTACAATAACGGATGCCGTCGCAAGGCAGTACGGAACCGCCGTACAGATGGAGCCCCAGGGCGGCCAAGCGGCCACCGACGACGCGGAGCGCGCCGTCGGCAGCTTGGCTGGCCGCGGTGTCGTACAATTCCAGGGCGAGTCGCTGCAGGGAGGGGACAGCGGCGTCGGCCAGCGCACGGATGCCCAGGGGGTGGTGATGGGGCCCTCGGAGAGCTACGTACGTTGTGCCGTACGCACACGTGTCTAGGATGTCTGCACTGCGACGCGATAAATAGGTTTTGGCCGGAGAGACCGAATGACGGGGTCAAGAAGAGCGCGTAAGGGTAGAAGCTAGAAAAAGTAGAAGAGCGCGTAAAAGGGGAATCGAACCTGGCGGCGTGAGATTTGGTTATCGGAAAGGACGTTTTTTTCCAACCGTCCGCATCCCTGCGCCTCAGCAGGTCCAACTGCTGCTCGCGGCAGCGGACAAAAAGCAAAGCACCACACAAGAACTGCATGGAGCTCCAATTTGCCCATTGGATTGTAACCCACATCACACCGCAGTGCGAATAACGAGACCAGAGGTGGTTGTTGCCTCGGACCGGAGAGGGAAGTTCGTTCCCCTTAGATAGCGTGGGACCGGCCCACTTACACGGCATGCGGGGAGGTTGGCGCGTATGCTGTCACCGTCAGCGCCGTGGGCCGGCATCCGCGATTGATTATGTTTCTTAACGCAACAAGCCCTTTATCCATCGGCTGACCTCTTCGAATTTTGACGTTTAAGGAGGTGCAGAAAGAATCGTGAAGTGCGCGCGCCTGACGGCTGCAGCAGCGGAAGTAAACGAGGTCGCGTGCACCTAGCAGCTTCCAAATGTGAGGTGCTGCATGAAAAACGTCAAATAGGCCTGCTTGGGCCACCTTTCCGGCGGTAAAATGAGGGTGCTTCTCCATCCCAAGTTAATAACAAAATGTAAATATCTCCTTGCAGTTTCGAATTTGCCATCTAAGCATGTACGCGCATGCCGGTCCAGCTTGGCGAAGTCCCTTGTCCCGGAAGCGTTTACAGTTAGTCGTTGTACGGATATAAGATTTTTTTCTATTACACACAGGGAATACCTCAAGGCACATAAAAGTATGTCATCTGAATGAATAAATATGAAAGTTATGTATCGACAACAAAAATTTTCTCACCTGATTGATTACCTGGCTTTGGAAAGTTAAACGTGCTGTTAAGCGTGCAGCACTGCCTGTCTCAGACCAAGGACCAGAGTGACTGATTTCCATAAAAGTCTATTCAAATCTTGATTACTTTAAGGATACCACACACTTGCACCAATACCTTGGTTGGTGCCAAGGGGCGGGCGCAAGGCAACGCCAACCCGGATTTTCCCAATTTTCCAGCAGTACTGAACCTTGTAGAATAATTTAGTTGTATCCTTATTACACCCTCATCATGCATTTTTTTGCAAGGCATATGGATTATTTATGACGGTCAAACTCATCGTCTGACGGGCCTACACGGCTATCAGTAAAACGGGAAGAGTCCTCTACGCCCGCCGATTCGGATATCAAAAGATACAATACGAATAATTGAACAGAGGCACTATACGTGCGGACAGTTTTCGTGTAGCATGCAAGCACCTTGTGCTTGGCAATCCTGGCCTGACGCCTCAGGCTTGCTGCCTAACGTCCTTGTCAATTGGCTTACAAGCACTGTTACCTTGTCGCTGAAAGTGCGTAAACTTTTATGCTGTACGCATGAATTATGCCGGCATCCGTGATTCTTATTGACAGCGTTGGTCATACGTCAACTGTGCTGGCGAGCTGCAAGCCTGGCTGTTACAGCGCCACCTGCCGCAAAGTCGGATAGTAACCGAGTGCCGGGGGGCCCAGGCACGAAAATGTAATGAAGACATTTTCCGGCGTGGCGTCACTGTGCTCTCACGGCACGCATCAGCGAAAAGGAGCAAACAAAATTATAAATTATCAATTTTGCATTCCGAGTTTGTTCCGGTTGTCGTTTCGGACCATCTGAAGGTTATCATCAACAGGTAACTGCGTGTGCTGTTGCTGTGTTCGGCGGCTCACAGCCCGTCTCTGGCCCGTCTCTGGCCTCAGAAAAAATGACGAAGACTGAAAAGCGAATTGCAGCTCCCCCCACATGACGCTGTGTATCGTCATGGCCCCCTTAACCTCCATTGTCCTTTATGTCTCTCCTTCAATGGTTTCACCTTCTTCCCATGCAGCAGCTGCCCGACGTCCCCGCCCTGCCATGCTCCTGCCTTGGCCGCCAGCTTTTCCCTCCATCGCTTGCCTCTGAACACATTTGTTTGAAACAAAACCCGGGAACCCAGAGACACACACACGCACACACACACACACACACACACACACACGCGCGCGCGCACACACACACGCGCGCGCACACACACACACACACACACACACACGCACACACACACACACACACACATACACACACACACACACACACACACACACACGCTTCGGTGAATCCTTTAAACCTTCCTCGCCATGTCCCACTCGCGGCTGAGGTACCTCCGTGCCTCCGCCCAACTTGGGGGACGTTTAAACTTTCAGATTTCCTTTTTGGAACGATATCTTACGTCCCCGCACATGTGCTCTCCGTCGGCCGGATTACGACACTGTACGACGAGCTTCACAGAATAATCGAGCACCTTTCTCGATGCCCGCCAGGATCCCTGGCATTTGGATTTTAAATATAATCTTGCTTTATACCTCTTCAAAGTGGTTACTTTGCATTAAGTGCGATGTAACGTGTCGTACATACCGTACAGTAGGGGAGGGAGCACTGGGGCCCAAAAGGTATCTTTACAAGTTCGGGAGCTAATCGTCGATTTTTGAATATGGCATAGTAATCACATTTCGCACGACAGACACACATACATACGTACATACATACATACATACGTACACACATACGACGATTAGCATCCCCCCGGATGGAAGTGGCCATCATCGGGCACCGCCATCACATGAGAAGGAATTATATCGCCACGGGGTTGAATTATGTTGGTTGGTGGTTGGTGGTTGGTGGTTGGAAGCGCAATGGCGCAGCTCGAGATGCAGCTTGAGAGCCTTGGACAGCGTTTATTATACGCTGTCGCTGGCGCGCCCTTATGACACATCATGTGGCAACAGAAATTTGTGTGTATATCGACAACGCGTGTGCTACAAAACAACATGTACACAACGAATGTCCAAATACGGTACCCTTGCTGCTGTACATATCGTACGAAATATATAAAAAAAAGCTTGCAGCTAATTATATGATATAATTGTATACTGATTCTTTCCCAAAGCCGCCTTTTTTCACCGTTATCACACCACGCACCGCCGTGATGGTGACGTCACACTGACTTCACCATCAAAAGCATCCCGTACGGCATTCCGTACACGTAACGGCGACTTAGCGGCAATTAGAGGTCGTGGCGTCTGCCGGTTCAGGTGAAGGGCGGAAATAACGGAGCGTATTTTTACGGACGAAAGTCCTCGCCTCCAGAGCTATGCGTGTACCCCTGCTCCTGCACTACCATTCAAGGGGCCCCCCGCCAGTCGCCGAGTGAGAATTGACAAGTCCATGCCGTCCTGCGAGTGTGTGCGTCCTCGCGTGTGTGTGTATGCGTATGTCGTACAAGGTCTGGTCGGCAGCCCCGGCGGAAATATGGGGATAGCGCGGGGAATCGTTCTCGGGTAGAACGGGGCCAACATCCCTCTTGAGAGCTTCACACGCCGCTGTACCGGCAGGGTAAATTCAGCGTACAACACCGATAGTACGGCACCTCAGTACGGTATTAACTTGGGTACGGCATTAACTCTACAATCAACTTTTGGGCTCCCTCTGCATGCCGCAGCATGCTAGCACTTCCACTCGAGGACTGAGGACCGTACGGCACAAAGCGATAGCGGCGGTGGGTGCGGCGGCGGCGGCGGCGGCGGGGTGTCGTATCGTACGGTGCGCGTTGGCGGGGGATGGGGGAAATGGGGATGAGGGGGCGGGAGGGAGGGCGGGAGGGTGCGAAGAAACACAGAGAGCGCAAACACATACACACACACGGCTGCTCGCAGCCCCAGCGGTCTAGCCTTCGCCGCCCACATCGTTGTTGACACCGCCGCACAGCGCACCCTCTGGCGGCTTGGGTCGCATGTTTCCCTTCTATGAACGACGTTTTTGACACGACACGACTTCTGGAGAACTCAGAAACCGATCGCCATTATCATTTAGCACCATCATCAGCATCAACATGCATCAACACCTTTTTTTATTGAAGACGGGGCAAAAAACAGTCACGATAAAGTAAGCATATGCAAACAGACAGCACTAAAGCAAGGGTAGATCCACATCGCGGCGGATGGCAAGCACTTAGTTTTTATCGTTTTTTCGGAAGGGATTGTTTGCAACTTCAGTAAAAAGCGACGCACGCACGCGACGAGACTGCAACGATAGCACTTTCAAATTTTCTCTTCTTTTAGTTACAGAAAGTCTCAGAAAGTGAAGGTCATCACTGTTAACAAGGGTTTCTAGGAGGTGAAGGTCGAATATGTGGGAAGATATCAGTCAGCGACTTTAGGGCGATTTAGGGCGACTTCGCCCCCCGTCCTGGTGCAAGGATGAGAAGCCCTTCTTCCGGCCGCAATACTACCGGCTCATCGACGTCGCCGCCGCGGAGAGTTCGATGTCAACGTAAGGTCGCGGCTGACGTCAAATGCCGCATCGCTTCCCAAATCGCTCGCTGACTATACTGACACAACGAGTCAAATCCTATTCAGTGTTCGTACCTTTGTACGATGTCATCACCACAGCCCGCACCAGTCTGTTTTGGCCCGTCATGCACTCGCAGCTCATCAAGAACATATACACGCACACATACGTATACACACATACATACATACATACATACATGCAAACTCAGTGCGTGCGCGCCAGCACCATTCCGCCCTCAATTAATGCCGTACAACTGGAAAGCCTTCTCCTCTGACCGCGCCTTCTTCATAACATTACAAAGGCGTTTCGTACCGCCTCCGCGTTCCGTTAATCGCGCGTATATGAAACATGGCTATCGATCCGCCGTCAACGTTCCGTTTCGTGTGATCGCATGATCATCGTAGTATCAGTAGTAGTCGTCGGGATGGTAGCGACCCATCGGGATGCATGCAGCGTCAGAACACACTGAAGAGGATATAATTAGATTATATGTGTGCAAGAGAACTTCGGAGAGATTTCGTCTCTTAGATTCCCTCTAGTTCTTAGGTCACCAACCAAAACGTTCTTCCTTACTGATACGCCCGCGGGTTTTCGGCGTACAACACACGGCCCCAGCACTTGACGATCTCCACGAACGGACCGTAGCCCTTGCCGGCCGTTTCGAGGCGGTTCGCGGTGATGAGAATACCCTGGGATACCTTGAGCGCCTCAGGCAGGTTGTTGACATCTGCCGTCGGGGGAGGATTCTGGTTGATGCCGCTCTTGACAGCGGGGATGTCAATCCTGAGCTCCGAGCCGCATGGGACTCTATTGCTCGTGACGTTGTAGATGACGGGGCCGATGGCGCTCTCCGGGAAGCTCCCGGTGGGCTTACCCGTCCACTTAATCAGTTGGACCTGGGCAGAAGGGCGGGCGGTGGAGGAGGAGGGCGGTGGAGAAAGGGGGGCAAAGGCGGGAGGGAAGGCACATGGTCAGTGGAGAGGTGGAGAGGTGGAGAGGTGGAGAGGTGGAGAGGTGGAGTGGTGGAGAGGTGGAGAGGTGGAGAGGTGGAGAGGTGGAGAGGTGGAGAGGTGGAGAGGTGGAGAGGTGGAGAGGTGGAGAGGTGGAGAGGTGGAGAGGTGGAGAGGTGGAGAGGTGGAGAGGTGGAGAGGTGGAGAGGTGGAGAGGTGGAGAGGTGGAGAGGTGGAGAGGTGGAGAGAGGGGGACTCCAGCCAAAAAAGTTTCAAGGGGTGGACGTGATGCTGTAGCAGACACCCAAGTGATGATATTGATGACGATTGTAATGCTGGTAAAATTCTCTCAGCCCCGGAGCCAACAAGTCCGACAAGACCCATATGTCCATATTTATACGTGCACACACACACACACACACACACACACACACACACACACAGACACACACACACACAGACACACAGACACACAGACACACAGACACACAGACACACAGACACACAGACACACAGACACACAGACACACAGACACACAGACACACAGACACACAGACACACAGACACACGCATACACGAATGAATATTTTCACAACGGCTTTGCACGGAATTTCCTACGGAATTGGACGACTTTGCGTACGGCCCTGTACGGCCGTGTACGGCCGTGTCTAGCTACTCAGCAGCTCACCAGCTGGATGTTGGGGTTCTTGACCTGCTTGATGGTCAGCGCGGTCAGCTGCACGGGGTCCTTGAAGAACAACGCCACGCTCAGCTGGTTCGCGGTTGCCTTCCAAGCCCGGTTGCAGTTGGCGCAGCGGTCAGGGCAAGGTGCCTTCCGGCGGAAGACCTGTTGCAAAGCACGAGCGACGGGAGGGCGAGAGGACGGGAGGCGCGCAGGAGGAACTCTGAATAATGAAGATTTTATAGGATCAGAAAGTCATCATGCAAATAGTGCTGAAATTGCAAGAGCACAAAGGGGGGCAGCAGCCGTAGTGCATGCACTCTTCTCTTCCGCGATTTGTTACCGTCCAGTACATACATATGGTGCCACAGGGGCCCCCCCCCCTTTCATCATCTAGCGAGTCCGCGTGCCAGCGTGTTAGCTACCTACCAGCTGGAGTGCAGACTTAGGCGTCAACTGATCGCGGAAGTCGTCGTCGTCGTACCAGACCAGAGACCTGGGGGTAGGGGCACATCACCAGTCAACGGTTAACTGTCAACTGTCAACTTCTGGCGTGGTTTTTGCGTCGATCGTTTTTGCGTCGAAGTACGAGGTATATATAGTCCGGGCCCCCCCACTCGTTCAGTTATGGATGTCTACACTGTGGAGGAGGGAAAGGCGGCGGCGGCGGCGCTTGCGTGCCGAAAGGAAGTTGACGTACAGTCCATGCACGAATGCCCCGGACAAGGTGACTGTACATGCGTCATTACACACGCACATTCGTACATATATGCACGTGCGGTAAAACGCAATGCACACTGCGAACAAATCCACACTGAAGCCTCCTGAATTAGGATATGTATGACAACCGGAGCGGTACGGCACGCCACACATGCGTCCGTACCGTGTCTTGCCGCGAGCTCCCATGGGCAAGATACTCTCGAAGTAGGTGATTGGAGCCACCGGCAGCGGCGGCGATGGCACCGGAGGCCGGGTTAATGAGGGTGTGAGGGGGTTGGGTTGGGCTGGCGGCGGTGGTGACGGCGGGGGTGGTGACGGCGGGGGTGGTGACGGCGGCGGCGGCGACGGCAGTGAGGGAGGCGGCGGCGACGGCGGCGGTGGTGATGGCGGCGGCGACGGCGGCGGTGGTGATGGCGGCGGTGACGGCGGCGAGTTCGGCGGCTTCGGCGACGACCGTGGGGACTTAGGGGGGCTCGGGGACTGCTTGGGGGCCCGAGGTGGCGATGATGGCCGCCGGCCCGGCTGTGGCGGCTTCGGCGGCGACCGGGCTGGTGGCGGGTAGGTGACGGTGGCGGTCTGCAGGAAACGCCGTACAATCTCTTCCGTGCCGGCAGCGGCGTCGGTGGCGGCCTGCAGTACATTGTCCAGCGTGTGCTGCTGGTCCAGGAGAGACAGAGAGCTGCCCTGCGAGGGAGCGGTGTAGGCACCTGTACGGCAGATTACGGCACAGGAGTGTGTGGGGTTGAGTGTGTGAGGAAAGGAGCTGTACAGGCCTTATTGAAGTTCAACTACACGGTGATGGTGGTTGTGGTGTCTTCAGGTACAAAGCGGCGGCAGCCGAACGGCTCAACTGTCAACTGTTTTATAATTATAATAGTTGCCTTAATAGAGATGAAACTGACAACTTTGGCATTTCTGCTCTAAGGAAGCCGCGCACCGTTTGCGAAGTCGCGGATCAGCTTTGCAAGCAAAGAACTCCACAGCGGCTGCTCGCCATCCTGCCAGCTGTAACCCAGCCACACAACAGCTCCTGAGATGCCAGCCTTGCCAAAGGCCTGCATCGAAGAGCGAAAGGTATTAAAAAATGCGTGCGGTTCGTAAAGTTAAGCCGACTTGGCTTCGACAACAGATTGGATAGCCTGAGCGCGACTGGACAACGAGCAGCTGAAGAAATCAGTAATAATGGCTAACTATCAGGCCTTTAAAAAAAACTGCGAAGATTCGCGGACCGTACCTGAGCTACAACTTTGCCATTGTCGCCCTCCACCGTGTACAAAGGAATTGACGTTGATGACTCGTCCTGGTGTTGGCATGCAGAGTAGGAAGAAATGACGCGTGCGTTTTCCAACGTCGCCGGCCATGCATCTTCAGTCTCCGGAAGGAACTGGAGCGCCGCGGAGCCCAGAACCGGCTGGCCGATAGCGACCATATCGTTAGAGCCCATCGAAAGACATGATTCCCATTCGCCTGCGTTAATAAAATACATATTTCAAGGTCTGAGATGGAAGCATGCAGGTGCGAACTTTTAATGCGCCCGAATAGCTGGGCCGCCCGACAAAGTAGACCAGAAGTAGGATGGAACATAAAACATGATACAGTAAAGGACAGGTAATCGTGGCTAATCGTGGCCAAGAGTCTCCACCAGTTTTCGCTGTGCAACATCTTACCTGTGTATCCCATAGCCTTGGCGACGAACTGCGGAACAGACTCGCCCCGGTTGCTGCTCGAGTCAAGCAAGACGACAAGGCCGCCATTTGCGACGAAAGACGCAATCGCGTCCATATCTTCGGCCGAACTGTAAGGAGCTGGCCCGTTTTGCGCTGGAATTACGTAGGCACTAGGTGTCTTGTCTCCAGAAAGGTTAGGCTGTTCGTCCTCAGACCTTTCTACATTGAATCCCAGCGCCTCAAGCTGCTGAGCAAGCTTATAGGTGCTGCCATCCCAGTTATGGTTCAACACGTCCTTCGCCTCGCTCATGTACACCGACACAGTCGTAGACGTGGCATGATAAAAGCAGAGTCCACATACCAAGGACAATAGGAGGAAATGAGACATGGCGCCCGGAGCAACGGGCTTGAAGGGTGGCATTCGACCAAATTGCGACTTGCTGTCAAGTTAGGTCGGCTGATATGTCCTGACTTGAAAATTGATTATATACGAATATCAGAGCTGGAAGAATTGCTCCAGCAGTCTTGCAAGAAGCTCGCTGGCTATCTTCAACAGCGATGCGCCTGATCATACAGGTGGCAGAGTAGTTGGATCGCTAATAATCTGGTGTCCGGGGCACTTAGGTGTGAGTACCACACCGGAGACAACAGTGTGTGTTCCACACAACGTATTTAAGCTCAAAGCAGCATGAAAGATTACGACAGCGCGATATACGGCACCACGCAGCCTTTCCAGTGAACTCGCTCGACACACGACCGGTTATGCTACCAATCTTGGAGCCATGCGGAAGAATAATAAAAATAATATTTCGACTTTTCATAGGATGCTTACAATTTGCCTGAGAAGGTTCGCCCCGTCGGGCGGGCTGCGCGGTTTGTCATCGCCCACCGCAATTTATCACAGTACGTTGCATTGCTAGCAAATCCATCTCAAAGTCACTTCTATATTATATTTACTTGCGAAAGATTTATGCAATGGTGGCTCATAATTTATCATTCCCGATCCAGCTTTGCAAGGGTCTTGATGCCTTATGCTGCTTCCAGTTCCCAAACAATCATAAGCTATAAGACCTGATGTCCATATACTCAAAGATGATATTCGAGCTTGGGCGCTTCCGTTGTTCAAGCTTTTCGCAACACTACCGTTGCTCCCATATTACCGACAACAGTTATTAGAATTCCTTTTTAGCCAAAATAATGCCACAGTATGCTTTTTCTGGCAGTGGAATGCGGCTTGCGCAAGAGTTATTCCATTTCTAATCGACAGCTTGAGCCGTTCCGGGTTCTTGCTTTGTGTCCTGTGCATGTGCAACTGAAATCACTGGTGTATGCAAAGCAACACAAATGGATTTTAAGGTGCTTTAAGGTGCACGTCGCCTGTGCGCAGAACAGGGCTCATCCTGCTCATCAGGGCTCACGCTTGGGCCCTAGGGTGCCACACGGCACCAATAGCAAGGTGTTGCTTAACCTTGACAACCCAAACCGTTCAACTCCAAACTCCATATTAGAAATGAAACGGATTGCAATTCGAGGCCCGGACGGCCCTCGCACTTCCCGACCGTTGACTTCGCTGCTCATTCTTCTACTTCGGACTCCCACACCTCTGTAAAATATAACCCAAAGCAATATCGGCCGTGCTACAAGCCAGGTGCTCTACCTAGGCCCGCTTGCTCAAGAACATGATCCCGTCAGAGCGGTTCTGCCGCAACGCTTGCCACAGGGATGTGTGGGTTAGGACATTCATTGTTAGATTAGGGTTGCTACAGACATGCAAAACGCCCTTCGTATTTTATTCCGTACCCGAGGTGCCCTTCCGTCTTCCCTGCCCTCCAATTGCTCACTCGCCCCTGAACGCATTCTCCCCCCTCCCCCCCTTTGACCCAGCAGCCCTGCCGCACGGCCCAAATCCCTGATGATGCTGATGGCCGGTTCGCCGTGGAGAAGGGTCCAGATGCCTGGTCTGACTTCCTTTTGGCGAAGGTACTTTTTACTTTGAGTCACAGGACCTGTTGCGGATAGATCGCTGATGTTGCCAGTTCGAATTTGGGCGACGGGCGGTCTACGTTACTGTACAGCGTACAGAGTACATAGGCGGCTATTTTAACGTACTCAAACTCGCGGCAGTCACTGAATGAGGATTGGCAGTCGGCTTTTCATGGTGATCTTTTTGTCATATTTGCTTTGCATCCCTAGGTTTAGCTAAGATGTATCTAATCAGGAGAAGGCTTGGGCGTTCCTACTGCAGTCAGGATTGCTTGCCAACGTCTTCCTACCTCCTTCAAATGCCGCCAGCTGGCTTTTCGATCGACTTTAGTAGGGCGGCACGTCTTGAAACAGACCAAGTCCTGGAGTAGGCCTAATCCTCTTAGATCTTCTTCGGGATTTCATTCGGATTTCAAACAAAACTGCGCCGGATACAAGGCTAATGCTGCCCTTAGCAAAGCAAACCGCTAAATGCAGCTCCCCTTGATAATAACTAGATACACCTCAGCTATGCAGATTGTGATACAATTTAATACTATGTGTTAGATGAACAATCTTTTCTAGGAAACCTTTACAGAAGTAGCAGCAACAGCAACAGCAACAGGCATTCCAAGAATGAGAGCTGCAATAAGAAGCTTCCACCAGGATTGATTTAAACTGAAAATTTAAAGCTAAATTTTCATTTCGCAGAAAAGGGGTTGTAGCTTAGCATTGGCGAAAGTCCATCACTATGAAAGATGGCCGCAACGCGACTCGAAGGTAGAAGAAAACCATGCATATTGCGCTTGTGAGGTACATGCAAGCAAGCATAAGTACGCCTTCTTTTGTATGACGTCCTTGTACAAAAAACCCATCTTTCGGCATGCATGGAATTTACGGTTGGTCGTAATGAACTTCAACATAATGTAGGTAATAGTACAAATTAAAAGCCTACTTTAATCTCACATGTCAAGCTATTAAGCTGTTAAGCTATTCTGTGTAATGCAGATATGTATCGCATGTGCCGATGATGTTCGGAAATTCGCCCCGACGAACGGTTAGGTGCGAACGGCGCTCCAGCTGATGCATAATCTTATCTCCGTTATACCAATAGGCCTCTCATTATTTTAATAGACACATTGATAGTTTTTCCACACCTTTATTTGTCGCATAAAGGTACGTCTTTCGTCAGACAAGGCACATCTTTGCGTCGTCGGGCTGGCCGTACCTTAACGAAACCCATTTTTGCAAGGGTGAGACAGGACATGCATCATATGTGTACCGAAATCACAAGTGAATCTTTCCGTAAGGATTAATTTGTCCTGGTTGCGACAAAGCTTTGAGCTCCGTTCTAGAGCCGTCCTGCTCAGCGAGCGCTCAGCCTGATGATTCGCACAGATGTCTACGGCGTTAAACATTAAACAAAAGAGAAAGCAGTTAAACAAAAATGCCTTGCCAAAAGTAGTATGTCTGGCATTTCCGTATGGTTAGTAATCCAAGAGGAAGTGTTAGAGGCACATTGAAGGACTCTGAGTGTTGCAGGAAATATTGGCGTTACTGGTGTTAATGTTTGTGCATAGCTGTGGATGCTTCTTTTATTTATCTATGGGAAAAGCTGTACGGATGATCCGTTCCTTGCCTGCTCCTGCGCGGTCGTTAAAGGTTCATGCAAACGACAGCAGAATGTCAAATTTTGATTTTTGTATAAACGTTATTCCAAAATAGGGATAAGCCACGAGGGCGGGCTTCATCGTAGCGCAACGCAGGGCTATGCGCCTTCTGATTGAATTTGGTGGAGATAAACATCCTTTCCGTGCTTGCACATAGCGCCCCACGCGGCAACGCTTACTGTTACGTTTGGGCCACAGACATCTTCAATGCCTGTCTAGTTTGTCCTCACGTCAGACTACGCCGTATTTTGCGGGCTCCCGTATCGGATGGCAGAGTGTAACTCCGTACGAAGACCGAATGAGCAATGGTTGTATCGCGTTGCAAGCGTCAAGAAGGATCCTGCTAATTCCGACGCTATAAGCATTCAGCCGTCTGATCAAGGCGCGACTTCCCGTCGCCCGTCAGCGAAGGCGATGCGGCTACGTTAGGAGCCCCGTCCGATGCACATTCCAAACTACAATTTTTTTTCTATTACTTATTACTATTTATACCAATCTTAAGGGATGACTATTGCTGATGGTTACCGATAAGGGCTTTTAGGCGGGATCCAACGTGCTTTCAGGCAAACCAGCATCAAGCTCTCGCACCTAAGTCCTTATGCAACATGAACATCCTTCTAACATTTTGTAATTGGAAATCAATCACTCCCCGTTGCGCCTTTCGTACCCTGTTCCATCGTCGTGGCGGGCGCGTCTCGCCATGTCTCACGGAGCAACAAGGGCGCTTGTGAAATTTGGGGCAGCAAGCGCGCTCGTATATCAGCCATGACGAGCTAATGAATGAAGGAAAGCGAGCGGTCTAAGAAATCTTCGGAAGAAGAGTAGGGGCGGGCGCTTTTCCCGCGGGCGAGTGCTGGCGTATAGGGAGATTTACGCCGAAGATTTCACGCGATTGACATTCGCCGAACGAAGTCACGTAACCATGCCACCACACACACACACACCCGTTCAAATCTTCCACGCATTACAAACAACACAAACACATCTCTTAGCGTTCTCCCGCTCTTCACCTCCCAACTCCCAACTCCCCCTGCGGCACCATCACGCACAGCATTCCTTGACGTGTAGCGCTGGGCTGCGATTGCAATTGCCATACCAGCATGTGCCACGCTCCCATCGGACCTCCTTCGCTTTACTTGTACCGCAGAGCGTTCATTTCTGCTCCCCTAATTTTATCCCTCGCACTTGGCGACTGATGTTTTCACGTAATGGGTGTAAGTTTGTATGTCGTGTGGTTGGGGCAGCGGCAGGAGTGTACTTGTTTATGTAAGGAAAATGCAGACGGCTCAGGACGTTGTGGGTCTCGGGGGTCGAGGTAGAGCTGGTGTTTGTGTTTGTGTTTGGGTTTGTGTTTGGGTTTGTGTTTGGGTTTGTGTTTGGGTTTGGGTTTGTGTTTGGGTTTGGGTTTGGGTTTGGGTTTGGGTTTGGGTTTGGGTTTGGGTTTGGGTTTGGGTTTGGGTTTGGGTTAGGGTTAGGGTTTGGGTTTGGGTTTGTGTTTGTGTTTGTGTTTGTGTTTGTGTTTGTGTTTGGGTTTGGGTTTGGGTTTGGGTTTGGGTTTGGGGGTTTGGGGGTTTGGGGGTTTGGGGGTTTGGGGGTTTGTGTGTTTGTGTGTTTGTGTTTGTGTTTGTGTTTGTGTTGGCAA